ATTTTCAAGTAAGGAAAAAAATTATAGTGGCGTTAGATGATGTGTATAGTCTAGTACCTAGATTAGGTCGATTAGTGAGAAAGGGTAGATGCGACAGATAAGTCAATATCACGAAGTCGAAGGAAAAAACATAATCACAGAACTTTTCAATAAGAAGGAGTCATGGCTTAAACTTTGTAAAAAGAATTTAATGTCTCTGATATCAAGTAAATTACAGACGGAACATAGCAGTCTGATTGTTTTTGTAATAAGAAAGCTCAAAAAGCTGTTCGAAACAATTTTTTCGAATTGAATTTATGACAATTTGATGGCTGTTTTATGACGCTTGAAAATGTACGGCGTAGCAATTAGAAATAAGATACAATAATTAGTCTATTTACGACTAACTATTGTTTTTTTGGAAGTAGTTGAAGAGACGGCGACATGAGACGCACGTATTTTTATGTATTTTCTATATTGTGAAGAGGTTCGGAATAATAAATTGGCTTTAACCAGCGTATTAATAAATGAATTTGAGTATAAATAACAGCAACAGAGCCATTCACTTCAAAAAAGTAAGTTATGTTCTATAAAAAACACTTGCGCATCACGAGTAACTTTATTACCAAAGCCATGCATTTTCTGTCTTTCTTTCTTTCATCACAAATGACTTAAACTAGTGATGCGTGCCTATTCTACACTAAAACGTGTATCTTTCCGTTTTTTAATCGTCTCACATTTTTTTTTCACAGAATAAACATAATTTTTTTGTACCCTCTGGTCTTTCTTAATTATGCTATCTTCATTTCGAAATTACATGGCTTCGAATGCCAAAAATTCACTCCTCTCACTTTTTATAATTGCCAGTATCATCATCGGCATAATCCTAATGGTTTGGGGTGGTACAGAATTATATAAACTGCACACCTATATCGCAGCACACTGCTTAGTTAAATCGACTAATCTCGTTCGTGGTGACTATCTGTATTCAGTTGTATGGAATGTAGTCGTGACAGATGATGGAAGTAATGTGGCGAGTAGTGGTCTGGTGTCAATCTTTGATACAACCTCGACGTATCAAGATTATTTGTCTTTTACTAAACGGAACTGGTATTCGGTGAGTGAGGAAGAATTCTCAACGTCTGAAGTGCTCTAATAATTCATTTTCTATTTTCAGATAGGTCAGTCATACCCGTGTTATCATAAAAGTTCCTTTTCGAACAATTACACAGAAATACAATGGAACCGACCGCAGAAAGCAAAGGCCTACGGAGGTTTATTTGGTGGACTAGCTATATTATTTTTTGGTATTGGAGTCTATTTCGCTCGAAGACATTACCAGAGAAAGTATAGTGGCACTATTACTCATAATCAATTGACTGGGACTACGACAGCACCAGTACCAAGTACTACAACGACACCGCGAACTGAGGAAGGAAGAGAATCTCCTCCCCCACCCCCACAACTGCCAGCTCCAACGCTATCGGAAGAAGCACCACCTCCAAGTTATAATGAAGCCGTTCAATGGCTACCGGCTACGACGCCTGTTAGATAGAGATTAAGAATCAAAAGTTGAAGCTTGTAGGATTTTCCTACTCGGTTTTGTGTAACTTGTCTCGTATTTTCTTGAAAATACTTAAAAGTTTGTATAATTCGAGAAATTTACGATTATGTTTCAGAAAAAGGATGACGAGCTAAGTAGGTCAAATCAATTTCACTGAAAGACTGTGCTTTCTTCGTATTTGAAATACTTAACTTCATTAGTCCTAAGACGTCAATCATTGATGCTCTTCTTTGTCTTTTACACAATCTCACAAACAATTTAAATTCGCAACCGCCAGTGAATAGCATCTTGCTCACAGTTGACATGAAAAAAGCCTTTGATAACGTACCTTATCAAATTATAACTTCTCGTCTACGCACCCTAGGTCTTTCTCCTCTATGTCTCCAATGATTCGAAAACTATCTTACTGATAGATCACAACAAGTTAGAGTAGGATCTTTCCTATCTCTTCCTACACCACTAAAATCGGGTGTAATCCAGGGATCAGTGTTAGGGGCTCTACTATTCCTTATATTTATTAATGAGTTACCCTCTGTAGTCCA